GGTATCCGATTCCGTATCCGAAATTTCGGATACGGAATCGGATACCAAAAATCAACTATCCGAAATTTCGGATATCCGAATTTTCGGATATCCGGTTATGAACACCCCTACTTACAAGTGGTATCAGAGCCTTAAAATAGAATTAAGGCTGTTTTGGAATCAATTTCTTTTCGAAATATTAATTAGTTTGTGGTGTTTTTGGTTTGTGTTGAAAAGGAATTGGATGTTCATCGTGTTGTTGTTCTTCATGTTCATCACTTTCTTCGTGATTCTTCACTAATTTTGGAGGATATTGTGTTGGAAATCGTTTTTGGTAATTTACCAAATTTTGAAATTCATTGGATAAGGAAACTCAATCAAAAACCACGATTTCGGCTTAATCTCAGCGTTTTCGGCAGATGAGTAACATTTTCTGTGAAAAGACTTGGGCTTTCGGTTTGGAAGAGTTTTCGGCCAAAACATTTAGTTCTCGGCTAACTGCTTTCGGTCAATCATTTGACTTTCAAGGATTTCGGTCAATTTTTTTTTGACCTTCATGGTTCTCGATCAACAGGGTGTTGACTATTGGTGTTTTCGGTCAAAGAGTATTTTGTTGTTTTCGGTCAGATTATTTTGGTGAATAATGAGTTCTTCAATCACCAAAAAGGTAAGTGAAACGTCATTTTCTCAATCATGTGAAGACAAAATAAATAAATACCGTGAACATAATGAATTGTTGGTTAGAGAGGTTTTTGACCTTAAAAACGAAATATATGAAATCAAGAAAATAAATAAACCGCTTAAAGAAAAACTAGAAGCACAAAAAAAAGATTTAAGCAGGAAGAAGAGTACAACACCAAATGTGTTCACTATCGGTTTGCCAAGGAGAAAATTTCAAACTTAACTGCTGAACTTGATGCATTGAAGGCTAAATTTAAGGATGCTGATTTTACTTTTAAGAAATTTGATGTGTCAAGTGAGAAAGTTGAGTCTATGATATAAAAACAATTAAAGTGGAAAGACAAACAGGGTACGGGTCTAGGGTATCATAATATTCCACCTCCTTTCAATGATAACTATACTCCACCCCTTGAAACCAAAGAGATAGAGACACCTGCACAGTATGGTCAGCCCCTTGCAACTGCCCCAATCAAGAGTGAACAATCCGGCCCAACTGAAGTATTGATGGGAATGATTCTAATGCTTCTACTTCATGTGAAGATAAAGTAACTGTACAAGATGGGTTCGAGCAGAACAAAAATAATTCTAGTTCTGCTGAAACTACTTCAGAAACTTGTGATAATAATAATCCCACTGTTGAAAATTTCAAGCCACAAAAATTTGTTAAAAAGTCTAATAAATGTGCTTGTGATTGTGGAAGGTCTTTGAAACAAACTTCATTTGGACAAGGACCAAGTCACAATCCTAGTTATTTGAAAAGACAAACTTGTTTCAATTGTGGGACTCCTGGTCACATTGATAGAAATTACCCACATCGTTCATATGTTCCCTACTATAAACAAGGTTGGCAGAACGTGCCAAGAGGGAGATCTTCCACAAGAAATTCTTCGAGGTCATGTTCAAGAAGTGGTTATTGGAATGCTAAAAGGGCTAAGAATCTAACTTCCAAGGCCAAAAGGGCATATCAGACAAGAAGCCTAATCTGAGAAATAGTTTCGTCAGATCAAGATCGGTAAGGTCAAAGTCATTTCAGCAGTCGGTCTCAAGCTCCAAAGCAAGTGCGGAAACATCCATCAAATTAAACAGGAAAATGGTTAAACCCGAATACAGATGGGTACCAAAGGTTTCAATTCCCAAATCACCTAAAAATTCTGATGTCTCTTCATTTTCTGTGTTTGATAAACAAGATATGACTTGGGAAAGAGTATCATGTGTTAATGGTAAATGTCAACCCAGTTTCAAAATGGACTGGGTTCTCAAGACCAATTGATCCTGCACTCTGTGCCGGAGCAGCTATGGAGGAATATCATCAGACTTCAGTATGTTGATAATGGTTGTTCCAGGCACATGATAGGGTACATCTCTCTTATGTATGACATTCAAAATTTTCACGGAGAACATGTGTCCTTTGAGGGAAAGGAAAAGGAAAGATCATAAATGGGGATTTCTTCAATTGTTGAATTACGATTTGAGTTTTCTAACTCTTCTCTTCTCTGTGATAATAAGTGGATCTTCAACTTTCCAAAAGCTGATTTCGAGTTTTAGAGAGAGAAAGGGAGAACCGATAGCAACTTAAGACTCTTATGTACTAGACTATTATTTTCAATATAGTGTGCATTGAAGATTGATAGCTGTGTTCTTAATTCATAATAACAGTTTTGGGTTAATCATTAGATTGAGATTCGACACCAATTATAGTGATCTCGATTGATACACTAAATAGAGTTTTACAATTGGTATCAGAGCTCGTGCTTGTGGGATTTCTTAAGATGATACGTTTTGCAGACTGAAATTTCTTTTCAATTTTATTTAGTATTTCTTATTTTCTTCTATTTTGTTTTATTTTTAGAAAAGGAATTTTTGTGACAATCTTTTGGGAAGTGATATGAGTTAGTGATAAAGAGAAAACGAAATACGTGTAAAGCACTAAAGCTGAATTGTATAAAATCTATGCTCAATGTGTTGGTAGGCATAAAAGACTAAAATTAATGGACCAGACAATGTGGACTCATTTGAACTTAGAAAACTTCATTGGACTGACAATACGACGCTTGGATAGGTTTAATAGTAAAATAGACAAGGAAGCCTCTGTCATAAATTGAAGCTAACCATCATTTAGATCTGTGGCTCAACACTTCATTGGCGTATGGACTAGTGTCCTTAATTTTTGTATTGATAGGGGTGACTGAGGGGTTCTGATAAATTGGGTCTGTTTAAAATCTGTTATTCTTTCTTTCTTAGTCATCCATATGTTGTCCCCTTTGCGTGATCGGAAGATCCATCCTGGGACACAACATATGCACTTAGATGATGTTCCCTGCTCCTAAGTCAGTATATTGACTCCTACAAATATCAAATATTCTACTCTCTTTGTTAGTCATATGTTGTCTCCTCTGCGTGATCGGTAGATTCGACCTGGGACACAACATATGCATTCCACAATGATTATCCACTCACCTGAAGTAAAGGATTCTGAAGAAATTTCCTTGATTACTGGGGTATGCCTTGAAGTGGGGAACATGTTCTAGTGTACTAACATTAACTACACCCATAACTAAAAGGCTGACTGGTAGATATTACTGACTAAATTTAAGTGGACAACAATATCCCTGGTTGTCGTCAGACAAAATGGTCTATCTAGGAATATGGTAGCTATATATTGTCACTCATAATCTATCCTGAAAAAGTTCTTTGTGTTTAAGTGGATCACAATATCAATGATTGACTAGAGTTTTTCATGAACGTGTGTGCTGATAAACCTCATTAATTTGCTCTATAACGTTTGATCCCAAAAGTTTTTGTTCTGGTTTACATTTTTATTTTTATTTAAATTTGTACATATTTTCATTTTTATCCACAAATTTAGGGGGTGAAATAATAAAATAAAAAAATTAAAAAAATTAAAAAATATAAAAAAAATTAAATTATGAAATAAAAATTAAAATAAATTTTTTTAGTATGTTTAATTTTTAATTCTCATTTTGGTTTTTGAAACGTAAAATCGAAGGAAATTTTTTTAAAAAAAAATTTGGGTTATTTTGGGCCGAAATCGTTGGGGTGGGCCATATGGACCGAAATCTTTTAGGGTATATATATATGTGCCTTCTTCTCGGCTGATTAGGGTTTACCACTGGAAAACCTCAATCCGCCATTGTTGTCCTCTCTCCAAGCTTTTTCCAAATTTTCTGAAACATCTGCCTGTTTTCGGTGTTTGTGTTGCAAATTTTTCGGTGAATCAGGTAGATATGTGGTTTTCGATCATGGCAATGATGTTTAAAGTCTCTTTGGTGTACATGTTTCCATGGATTTGCAGGTTTCGAGTGGATTGTTCGAATGTTTTTTAGAATTCTAAATTAGAACAGGTTCCGAGGGTTTTCGGTCCAACCTAGATTCGACCGAAATCGATTCGGATCCGACCGAAGTCGGGGTTCTCGGCCGAAAACGTATGGTCAAAAGTCTTTTTACCGAAATCGATTAGTTTTGACCGAAATCGATGGAAACTTTGACTTTAACCGAAGAACGCCTGAAGTTTTGACTTTGACCGAAATCCATTAAATCTTTGACTTCAACCAAAATCGAATTTTAAACTTAATTTAATTAGATTTAAATCAATTCTCACTTGGCTTGTTTGGTGCAGATAAATGGCAGAGCAGATTAAATTTGTAGACTCTCATAATGTTGCTGGATATCTTATGGATCCACCTGCTGCTCATCAAGAATTCAAATGAATGATGGTGGGTCTGAACAACTGCAAAATTTCTCATGCCCTCCGTGCTAATCCAGTCACCCACAAGGACCTGATTACTGAGTTATGGAAAAATGCCTCAATCAACAAGCAGGGAGCAGATGGAGCTGGTACTGTTGAATCAATGGTGAAGGGAACTCAAGTAATTGTTTGTGAGCAAGTTATCTGAGAAGTACTTGAATTTGGTGATGCATCTGCATTTCCAATTGAGTACTCTGCTGATCACGTGAAGGAAGTCCTTGAGAAGATGTGCTATGAAGGAACCTATCTTCCCACTATCAAGAAGCTGCTGCCACCTTACTGGAGGTTTCTGGCACACTACTTTATGAGTTTCATTTCTGGAAGGAAGGGAGGATCTGATTAAATTGGTTAGACTTTGACCTCAGTTATTGTCGCTTTATCAATGAACTGGGATTACAAATTTTCAAAGTTTGTTATTGAAGAAATGAAAAGCAACCTCCAGGGGAAGAATAAGGATCTGTTCTTGATGTATCCCATGTTCCTTCAAATGATCCTGATTGAAAAGTACCCCCAAATTGTGAGGTCGTTTGATACTTTGGACATGAAAGCCTTGGGTCCCAACACCTTTGGACTCATGAAGCAATCAAGAAAAGCTGCCAAAGTCGCCTATCAAGGATTGAAGGAGTTAGTTAAGTTTGGAAAGTTTGCTGAAGTTGAAAACACTCCTGCTGCTAGTTCCATTAATGCTGAGGTTGCCGAGGAACACGTGGGACCTAAACCAAAATTTCAATTTGCATTTGAAGAGGTTGAAATATGTGATGATGAAGAAGAAGAGGATCAAGAAAAGGATATGACAGAGAATGAGTTTGAAGATTTTCTATAAAGTATCTCAATTCCTGAAGAGGATGTGGCTGTCACACCTTCTGTTGTGACTGAAGGAGATCGTGACTCAACTGTGCAATTTTATTCACCTACCTCTGAACAGATGGATGCTCTTATTGCTGAACTTTAGCAAACTACGAGGAAGCCTCCCCAAACAGTTCCTGTTACAACCGAAAATCCATCTGAGAGTGATCAAGAAGATTCAACGCACGTTCTACTCCGGAAGAAAAGAAAAAGACGAGATCCAAGTCCTGGAGTACTTATCACAGACCCTGTTCAAAATGTATCTACTCCGATTGAACCTAGTTCTGTGGCCCAAACCATTGAAAGCACATCCACTGAGTCCTCTCCAATGATGCAAGAGATTTCAAGCCCGTTACCTGAATCCACTCCTATGGATCATGATTTTTAAAGCCCTATTGTTGAACAAGAAGTCTTACCTTTAGAAGGTGATGAAGCTTCTGGAAGCTCCTTTGAAGCCCCCGAGTTGAATATTTCAAAAGGCAAAAGCAAGATGCCTGAGTCTGAATTTGTGGATGTCGCTCTGCTTCAGATCAAAGTTTTTGATTTGGAACAGAGCTCAACTAAAAAGGATTTGATTATTGGAAAGCAGGACATTAGAATCAGTGATCTTGAAAAGAAGAACTCCATTAAAGATGAAAAGATTTCAAAACTTCAAGCAAATCTTGGTGGTCTAACTGCATTATTCTTTGACTTGAAACAGTGCTTACATCAAAAGTTTGGTGATGATTTTCAACCTTTAAGCGCTGAGGGGAAAAGATTTATGATTCTAGTTCTGGTCCAATCAATCCAACTTCTCAACCTGCAAGTGAAAGAGTTGTAAGACCTGCTTCGGACGCAAATGTTGACACATTTTTATCTTCTGGTCTTGCTTCTGCTCAAGAAAGAAGAGAGAAGCAAATCAGGATTGAGCAGCTGAAAGGGAAGATGCTAGTAATGAAGCATTCAAACCAAATTGCTCCAGGTGATCACCCTGAGATGTTTTTCAAGGAGACTGGGAAGAAATTTACAGATAAATATGGGGACCGCTCTGGCATTTTGATGTGGGGATATGATGCTGATAAGAAAATGTGGATCGTAACGCGAAAGAGCGGACGAGTTTAATATTATGAGAAGAAAGTCTACTTCTTGTCCTGGACAAAAGTTGATATTTATGAACTCATCCACGCTCCTTTCCACAATCCAACCAAGGATCCCATGGCCTGGTCTTTTTAGCGGTTTCTTAAGGATAAAGCTAAAAATAACATTGAAGGCATGAAGACTGCTTCATCGTTTACAAAAAAGAGGAAGGATGTCATTGATCCTCGTACTAATAAAACCATGGTGAATTTTATGTGGACGCCTACAAAGAAAGCTAAAAGGATTCCGCTTCCCAAACGTTTACCACAAGACACTTTGGATTCAATGTAATTCTGGGTTTATGATGAGGCTACTGCATCAACAGTGATCAAGCTAAAGAAGAACTAGTATCACATTGTTGATCCCAAAGACTTGTTGAAGTTTTGTGAACGTGATATCCGAACTTTGTCAAACTTTCAAATAATTATTGAGAATGAATTGTTTGAAGCTACCGCAAAAGCCTTCACCGGAATGGTAGCTACCATTATTGAAAAGAAGTTGTGGGCTGGGGCATTTGATAAGGTGGACGTGCATCTCGTGGAAAAGCCTTGAAGAGAACTAAAAGCAATAAACCAAGGGGGATATTGTTGGGCTATATTTTGTGGTTTATGATTTGTATTTGTATGTCATATGTGTTCTCGGTTTTGGACCGAAATCACTAGTGGGCCTAATGTTTTCGGTGGGCTTGTTATATTTGGGCTTTAGGTTATTTGGTGTAGTATAAATATGGTCTGTGTATAGCTATTCGAGGTTAATGCGTATTTTGGTGAGTTGGAGCCTATTGACGGTTCAAGAGTAATTGAGTGTACCTGACAATTGATCAATAGAATTGTGTGCATTCATTGAAACGTGTTCATTGACTCATCTAATTTTTTTCGCATAGTTGTTTGATTAAGATTCCGCATTAACGCAAACAATTGCATTGATAATTATTTGATGATTTAAAAATGAAAATTTTTAAACAATTCATACATGTTTTATGATGATTTAAAAATGAAAATTTTTATCACTATTTTAGGTTGTTACAAGTTGGTATTAGAGACTTGTTTTGAGGGATTCGGGCACACTCTCGGGTGTGTCAGAACTCAAACTGAGGAATTGATAAACTTTTCAAAAGAAAAATAAGTTTTCTAAAAAGAATTTTTTACAAAGAAAAGGGTGTGATGCGTGCAATCAGCGGAGCTTAAGTAAGTGATTCCCAAAATACCTATACCTCTGTATTATGAATAGTATGCATGTTATATGAACTGCATGCTAGGGTAGGGCTAAGGATACCTCTAGGAATCGTATGATAGAATTTCCTGACTTGTGTGATGCGTTGTAGCCTAGGAGAGTGTGGATGAAATTAGTGACTTGGAATCAATATTGAAAGAGTTCTTTGCTAAGTGTCTGTTTAAAAAATTGTATACGCTTAGGGTCATATAGCCTTAGAATGATTGATTTAGCCATATTTCTTGTTCCTTGTTTGGTTGTGGGCTCAGGGTTGAATCTTTATTCGATCGTCTTTCTGATCCCGTATTGTGTACAATTTGGTAGAAGTTCCTAGTATTGAAGTGGCCATTGAGTCGAGGGTTCCTAGGAGGGCCTAGGGTATCCCAAAGTGGGATATGTGCACTTCTTAGCATAGGGTTTTGTGTACTTTAGGCTTTAGTGGGGGTGAATTTGAGGATTCGGGATGACTCTTTAGGAAAGTATGGATAAGTGTAAAAGGTAGTGTTGGGCTCGTACTACCAAAAGCATAGGATCTGTACTCGAGTCAGGGATGGTCTCGAAGATTCTAAGGAGCTTGCACATTTAGAGTTCCCTCAATCTTATTCTGATCATTTGTATTTTAGTATGGTGACCACTCAAGGAGGAGCTTCTAGTTCCCGTTCTGGCTCTGTTGCATAATTGATCAATGAGCAGTTGCATGAGTTTATCACATCAGATATTACGCGCGGTATTATGCAGGCCACCCCTGTGATTTTCGGTACCATCAAGGAGGGGATCACAAAGATTTTGGATGATCGCCTCGATGCCTTTCAGGCCGAGATTGCGACAGGACAGTTAGGGGCGCAGACTCCCTCTTTTCGAGAGTTCAATGCCTATGGCGCTCCAGAGTTCTGTGGGGCTAAGGACCCCATTACTAGCTGTCGGTGGATTGCTGACATGGAGAATGCTCAGCGAACGAGCTTCTACCCTGAGGGGTCAAAGTTAGGGTTTGACTCCTGCCTTCTGAGGGACCGAGCCTATGATTAGTGGGAGGAGGTCGGTCGTGCATTGGGATTTGTGGCCGTGGTGACCATGACTTGGGAGGATTTTGTGATGAGGTTCCGAGAGGAGTTTTAACTAGCGATCGAGGTGTAACAGTTAGCGAGGGAGTTTTAGGACCTTCGCCAGACCATGAAGACTTTGACGGAGATCACCACCAAGTTACAGGAGAGAGCTCTACTCATCCTATAGTATGCAACTGATGAGGAGATGAAGAAGAAGAGGTACCATGACATGTTGAGGGATGAAATCTGTGAGTTTGTCGGGTTGCAAAACCCTGAATGCATGATTGCTAGAGCCCGTGAACGGGAGATTTAGCTGCAGCTTCGGGCGAATCGCAATTAAGAGTAGGTATAGACAATAGTGGGCCAGGCAAAAAGGCCCAAGAATTTTGATTCGAATCCTTGGGGCCAACAGGGTCAGAGCCGTTTGTGGTAATTGCGGCAAGCCATACGGCGGGGCATGTGGAGTAGCGGGTTCGGGTTGTTTCAGATGTGGCCAAACTCGGCATTTGAGTTGGGATTTCTCTCGGGGAGCAATGATTTGTTTCCATTGCAATCAAACAGGCCATAAAAAGGCGGATTGCCCGAGACTGATAGGAGGAGAAGTGACAACGCCTGCACCGACCTCCTTGAGGATCACCGATGGCCGCTAGGGCAAGGCAGAGATACCTATGGTGAAGAGAAGGGCATTCCAATTGACAGATGAGGAGACGCGAGCAACATCGATATGTATTTTTTACCATATATTTTATTGCTTTATTTATTTATGTTTATGTTTTATTGATCGTGTATAGGGACGTTTTTAGTAAATGGTATGGATGCGAATGTTCTGTTCGATTTGGGTGCTACCCAATCTTTTGTATCTATTGCACTTAGCAAGAAGTTTAGCGACAATTCAGGGACTTTGGACTACCCTTTGGAGGTGGAGATTGTCAATAACCATTCAGTTATTGATTCGAGGGTTCATCGGGGTTGTATTTTAAATATGTTTAGTGAGAGATATTCTATCGAGTTGGTTTCGATTCCTCTACGAGGTCGAAGGTTATTGTAGTATGGATCGGTTAAGCCCCAATGGGGCTATGAGAGATTGTGAGTGCCAGTTAGTGTTAGTTTGAACTCCAAGTGGGGGAAAACTTATTCATTGCGAGGGTGCTCCACATGGATCGAATCTCTGCTCAGCTGCGAGAGCTAAGAGATATCTTCATCAGGGATGTTCTGGATTTTTGGCCTAATACTCGAGTCGGAGGCACGACGACCATGAATAAGGTGCCCATCGTAGGAGATTTTTATGATGTGTTTCCTGAGGATTTACATGGAGTGCCTCCTGAGAGGCAGGTTAAGTTCCAGATTTATTTGCTTCTCAGTGCAGCTCCGATAGCCAAGACACCATATCGTTTAGCACCTCCAGAGATGCATGAGTTGTTTACACAACTACATGAGCTACTAGACAAGGAATTTATCAGATTAAGTAGTTTGCCTTGGGGAGCAACGATCCTTTTTGTGAAAAAGAAGGATGTTTCACACCGGATGTGTATTGGTTACTGAGAGTTGAACAAGATGATGGTGAAGAAACGATATCTGTTCTTGAGGAGTGATGGTTTATTTAACCAGCTTCAGGGTGCATCTTGGTTTTCCAAGATTGATTTGCAGTTGGGTTACCACTAGATGAGATCAGAGATGAGGATGTGCAGAAGGCGACCTTTAGGAATCATTATGGTCATTACGAGTTTGTGGTGATGCTATTCGGGTTCTCCAACGCACCAACGACATTCATGGATCCCATGTACAGGGTGTGTAGACCGATGCTGGATCGGTCTGTGATGGTGTTCATTGATGATATTCTGGTCTACTCCAAGACCAAGGAGCAGCACGATGAGCACTTACCGGAGGTATTGGAGACCCTCAGGTGCAGCTTTTGGGTCACACCGTCAACCAGAAGAGTATATTGGTCGATCCGGCCAAGATTGAGGAAATGATGTGGTGGGAGGTCCCGAGGACACCATCTGAGATTCGGAGTTTT